ACTTTATGTATCTCAATAAATGCCTTTTTTTTTTTTTTTTGAGACAGTCTCACTCTGTCTCCTGGGCTGGAGTCCAGTGCCACGATCTTGGTTCACTGTAATCTCTGCCTCTCAGATTCAAGCGATTCCCCACCTCAGCCTCCCGAGTAGCTGGGACCACAGGCGTGCACCACCATGTCAGCTGATTTTTGTATTTTTTTGTAGAGACAGGGTCTCTCCATGTTGGTTAGGCTGGTCTTGAACTCCTGACCTCAGGTGATCCGCCCATCTTGGCCTCCCAAAGCACTGGGATTACAGGTGTGAGCCACCATGCCTAGCCAGAACGCATTTTATATTACATTTTTTAAATTATTAAGGCAGAGAGGCACAGTGACTCACACCTGTCATCCAGCACTTCAGGAGGCCAAGGCAGGAGAATCACTTGAGACCAGGAGTTCAAGAACAGCCTGGGCAACATAGTGAGATCCTGTCTTTACAAAAAAAGAAAACTCTTTTAAAAAAATAGCTGAGTGTGGTGGTGTGTGCAAGCAGTCCTAGCTACTGGGGAGGCTGAGGCCGGAGGACTGCTTAAGCCCAGGATTTTGAGACGGCAGTGAGTTATGATCATGCCACTGCACTCCAGCCCGGGTGACAAAGTGAGGCCCTACTTCTAAAACATTTTTTTTTTTAATTTAAAAAGGAAAACCTGATTCTTCTGTAGTTCCTAGGCACGATGATTGGGTGTTCATGTGCATGTATGAGATGTGCCTCCCTCAAACCTTGTTCTTACATCAGTACCTTACCCATCTAACACGGAAAAAAAAAAAAAAAAAAAAAGGAAAGGCCCACAGAGAGAGTTGATCCCTAAAGGACGCATTTATAATCAAGGAAACAAAAAAAGGCCCTTAGAAATTGAAACGTGAGAACTGAAATGAAAAAATGTTTAACAGATTGGAATACAGAATAAAAAGATAGGTGAGAATTCTAAGAAAATTTATCAGCCAGGTGTGGTGACTCACACCTGTAATCCCAGCATTTTGGGAGGCCAAGACGGGTGGATCACTTGAGGTCAGGAGTTCAAGACCAGCCTGGCCAACATGGTGAAACCTGTCTCTACAAAAAATACAAAAACCAGTCAGGCATGGTGGCGCATGCCTGTAATCTCAGCTACTTGGGGAGGCTGAGGCAGGAGAATCAACTGAGCCTGGGAGGCAGAGGTTGCAGTGAACAGAGATCATGCCACTGCACTCCAGCCTGGGCGACAGAGCAAAACTCCGTCTCAAAAAAATAAATGAATAAACTAAAATAAATACTTTTTTCTTTTAAATTTATTGAGACGGAGTCTCCCTCTGTCACCCAGGCTGGTGTGCAGTGGTGTGATCTTGGCCTATGGCAACCTCTGCTGCCCAGGTTCAAGTGATTCTTGTGTCTCAGTCTCCCAAGTAGCTGGGACTATGCGACACCGCGCCTGGCTAATTTATTTTTATTTTTTATTTTTTTTTGAAACAAGAGAGTCTAGTGGCATGATCTCTGCTCACTGCAACCTCCACCTCCCAGGTTCAGGCCGGGCGATTCTCCCGCCTCAGCCTCCCGAGTAGCTGGGACCACAGGCACGTGCCACCATGCCTGGCTAATTTTTTGTATTTTTAGTAGAGACAGGGTTTCACTGTGTTAGCCAGGATGGTCTCGTTCCCCTGACCTTGTGATCTGCCTGCCTCGGTCTCCCAAAGTGCTGGGATTACAGGCATAAGCCATTGCACCTGGCCTTTTTAAAATTATTTTTAGTACAGAAGGGACTTCACCATGTGGGCCAGGCTGGTCTCAAACTCCTGACCTCAGGTGATCTATCGGCCTCGGCCTCCCGAAGTGTTGGGATTACAGGCGTGAGCCACCATGCCCGGCCAAAATAAATACTTCTTGTATCCAAAAAGAAAAAAAAAAAAGATGTGCTAACTGGAAAAAAAGTGGATTTAACCCTGATTAACAGGGGAGGGAAGCCCCATGGTGACAGTGCTGTAGCAGGCTTCCACGGTAATCAATTCATAACGAAACAGCCTGATACGGACTTCTGGGATGTCGATTTCTAAAACAAAAGAGGTTATAATACATTGAAGAATATAATTGAGAATTTGGGAAAAAAAATAAAGATGTAGTAATAGTAGAAAATGCAAGAAAACAAAGAAAAGGCAGCTAGAAACTCTAGGAAAAACAAAAAACTGAACAAGGCTACTATAGTCCATATAGTAACTGTCCAAATTAGAACTGCAGCATTCAAGATGAAATGAATCCTAAAGAAAACATACATTCTTTCTACCAACAACCACCTGGGAAAAAAAAAAAAAAAAAATCAGAAACTCCAGGAAAGGTCGGGCGCAGTGGCTCACACCTGTAATCCTAGCACTGTGGGAGGCCAAGGCAGGTAGATTGCTTGAGCCCAGGATTTCAAGACCAGCCTGGCCAACATGGTGAGACCTCGTCTTAATTAAAGAAGAAGAAGAAGAAAAAAAAAAACTATAGGAAAAAACAATACTAAATAAGAAAGTCATAGCCCAAGTATGAAACAAACTAAACTATATTATGAATTTGAGAAACTGGTAAGAATACAAGAATATTTTCAAAATATATTGATAAATTTGAGAAGCACAGGGTCATGGTATTGAAACTTACACTATTTGGCACTGCAATGAATTCTGTTTACCAGTTTAAAAAATTTTTTCAACAGGAATGCTCCTATTAAAATCTAAGGTCATTTCATTCCTCTGCTCAAAAACCTTCTAATGGCTTCCATTACACTTACAATGAAAGTAAAGCTCTTGGCCGGGCACGGTGGCTCAAGCCTGTAATCCCAGCATTTTGGGAGGCCGAGGTAGGCTGATCACCTGAGGTGAGGAGTACGAGACCAGCCTGGCTAACGTGGTGAAACCCAGTTTCTACTAAAAATACAAAAAATAAGCCAGGTGTTGTGGCACACGCCTGTAATCCCAGCTACTCAGGAGGCTGAGGCAGGAGAATCGCTGGAATCCAGGAGGCAGAGGTTGCAGTGAGCCGAGACTGCACCATTGCATTCCAGCTTGAGCAACAAGAGCGAAACTCCGTCTTAAAAAAAAAGGAAAAAAAAAGTAAAGTTCTTATTTTTGTGACGGGGCTTCGCTCTGTTACCCAGGCTGAAGTGCAGTGGCACAATCGTGACTCACTGTAGCCTCGAATTCCCAGGCTCTGGCAATCCTCCCGCCTCAGCCTCCGGAGCAGCTGGGACCACAGGCATGCCCTACCAATTTTTGTATTTTGGCAGAGATGAGGTTTCACCATGTTGCCCACACTGGTCTCAAATTCCTGAGCTCAAGTGATCCATCCACCTCGGCCTCCCAAAGTGCTGGAATTACAGGCATGAGTCACTGCATCAGGCTGAAAATAAAGTTCTTATAATGCTTTTCAAGGCCCTATGCCATCTGCCCTTCTCCATCACTTCTCTGACCTCATCAATTTATCTCTTTTGATCTTGCTGCCGCAGTTATACTGGTCTCCTTGCCATAAAGCCTTTGTTCTTGCTGTTCCACCTGCCTGGAATGAATCTCTCTTACATATCCCCATCCCCTAGTCAGTTCTTTCATTTTAAGTCTTTACTCAAAGTCACCTTCTTAGTGAGACCTTCTCTGACTCTACTGAAAATTTCTGGCCATGTGTGGTGGCTCACACCTGTAATCCTGGCACTTTGGGAGGTCGAGGTGGGAGGATCACTTGAGCCCAAGAGACCAATCTAAGCAATATGATGAGACATCCTCTCTATAAAAAAATTTTTTTTTAAAATTTCTATCCCTCCTGTTGACATCCCATATCTCCTTTCTCTATTTTTTTCTCCTTTGCACTTATTTTAAATGCCAAAAAGACATGGATTTTTCCTGTTTTATTAACTACTGTATGTCCTGTACCTAGAGCAGAGTCTGGAATATAAAAGCTTAATAAATATTGTTGGAAGAATTATCCCTTAGACAAAATACACAGTTTCTGACTTAAATGTAAAGCTACTAAACCCTGGGGGTATAAAAATAAAAGGATAGCTGAGAGAAGCTGGGAGGGGTAGAGAGGTGGACAAGAACAAAGAGGACTGCTGATTTTCTGTGTAAGTCCATCTCTACTGTATGACTTTTAAATCATGTCCAGTATGTTAATCTGATAATATTTAGAATTTTAAACCTATGCAACTATATTTGAAACATTTTTATTTTGTGGCAATCTAGGTAAGTAATGCCAATTATGACACTTACATTAGGAAGGCTATGGTTGCTATAACACCACAGGCATGGTATGAGTGGTTGAAATCTTTCATGGTGGGATAAATAACAGCTGCATCTATGATAATCCACCAGCCTGTAAAAAACTAAAACAAAGGTGACACCAATGAGAAATTACAGCAATTCTGTATCTCACTGGCTAAAAGACAGCAAGATATTTAAGTGAAGAGATCCCTTTCAATTAATTTCAAAAATGTTCTAGCTATTTCCCACATGTAATCTGCACATGGCCTAATAGCTGATTAGGTACCCTTAAATCTGACAGCAATTTATATTTATTAACGTAACTTTTCTCTAAGTCTACTTCAATCATTATTTAATTTTATGATAATAAAGTCTTGTAATCTAATTTGGTAAACTAGAAACCAGTTATCTTGTGGAGGGGGAAAGGAAAAAAGTAACTCAAATTCCAACTGACAGAAGCGTCCTGTTAATACATAAGCTTCCAGAGAAATATTCCCCAAAATCAAGAAAAAAGCATTCAAATTAATATGGAGAACAACTATTGTTCACAGAATTTTAGCTATCTTCTTGCTGTGAAATAATAGCTCTGAGGTTCTGCTTTTGATGAATTCCAGTGCAGTCTAAAGGTGGTTTCAGGTGTGATTTTAAATTCAATGTCAACACCATATTACAATTTATTTGAATTTGGCTCTAGATATTTTCAAGGGCAAAGGTATAACAAAATAACCCCAAAACTTCACAAATAGTTTTTATCATCTGAGCAGAAATTTACAATACAATTATCTTAACCAAATTCTGACAAGTAGCTTAGAAGATTTTTAGAGTAACCCCCTTTCCTATCCCCACACCAAACCCTGACTCAGTTAGCTCTGGGAATTGACATCTTCTGGCAATTATTTTAAAATAACAATTTTAAGCTAGTCAAATTACTTTTATCAGGTTACAGACAGATCCATACTCGATTAATAACATTTTTAGTGGCTAACACGAGTACATACGCCTTTCTTTCTACCCTCAATGTATTCAAGATATTTTCTTCATAGACTAAAAACTCAAAGCTTTTTGGCCAGGTGCAATGGCCTGTAATCTCAGGACCTTGGGAGGCCAAGGCCAGTGAATCACTTGAGCCCAGGAGTAGGAGACCAGCCTGGGCAACATGGAGAGACCCCCATCTCTACAAAAAAACACAAAAATTAGCCCAGTGTGGTGGCCCTTGCCCGTGGTCCAGGCTACTCCAGAGGCTGAGGTGGGAGGATCACCTGAGCCTGGGAGGTCAAGGCTGCAATAAGCAGTGATTGCACCACTGCACTCCAGCCTGGGAGACAGAGTGAGACCCTGTCTTGAAAATAAATAAATATTAAAGCTTAAGAAAAAATGGCTTGGCACAGTGGCTCACGCCTGTAATCCCAACACTTTGGGAGGCCGAGGCAGGTGGATCACCTGAGGTCGGGAGTTCAAGACCAGCTTGACCAACACAGAGAAACCCCGTCTCTACTAAAACAAGCGTGAAACTCTGTCTCAAAAAAAAAAAATTTACTCTTTAGAGCCTATGACACCTTATGATCATAAAAAACTAATAGCAGATCCCTTGAGGGATCTGAAGTGTAAATAAAAATTTTATTCTGTAAATTACTTTTACACAATGTATTTTAATGACTTTCCTTGTTTTTGCTTTTTTTTAAAAAAAATTCATGCTAATCTTCTCTATATCATTCCAATTTTAGTGTATCTGTTGCCAAAGCGAGCACTTTTTTTTCCTTAATGAGACTGAGAAGAAAGTTAACTGGATTATGGAGAAATGCAATCATATCTATTGACTGGTTTTGACCTGATTGCTTCTTAAACACTTCCTTGTACCTTAATGTACTCATTAAAAGGAGATAGAATCTATATAATGAACAAATGTTTTATTATGCTAGTTTTACCATGCAGAATAACCCAACCACTCTGTTAATCAAATTTTAAACCATAAACTCTTAAAGTGGAACTAACGGCTCTCCATAAACAACAAAATATCAACATGGTCAAAGTGGTCAAAGATAAAATAAATAGTACATATTTTAAAACATCCTGCAGAATTCAAAACCCACAAACACAAAACGCACCAAAAAATGAGGTCCAAATTATCAATGACACTTACTAGTACACCAGCAGCAATGGAAGCAATAGTATTGCGCTTTTCCCCCCAGTCAATGCATTCTGAGCATCTCAAGCCCTCTAGAAATCCAGACATTTTTTTCAGGTCACTTAAAAACAAACAAACAAATAATTAAATAAAGTACTTCAATTTACTTGCTTCAAACCTGAAAAATAATTAATAGCTCAGGAATAATTAAAGTGAAATTACAAATGCTTTATTTTGGTTCCACACACTTCTTCAGAATATTTGATTTAGTTTTTGATGAATTTCCACGTTATAACTTTGGAAAGTAACATCTGGATTCATTTAGTATCTTTTTTAATGTAAAAAATGGTTTGGGGACTGGGCGTGGTGGCTCATGCCTGTAATCCCAGCTATTTGGGAGGCAGTGGTAGGTGGGTCACCTGAGGTCAGGAGTTTGAGACCAGCCTGGCCAACATGGCAAAACCCCATCTCTACTAAAAATACAAAAATTAGCTGGGTGTGGTGGTGCATGTCTGTAATCCCAGCTACTTGGGAGGCTGAGGCAGGAGAATCGCTTGAACTTGGGAGGCGAAGGTTGCAGTGAGCCCAGATCGTGACATTGCACTCCAGCCTGGGCGACAGAGTAAGACTCTGTCTCAAAAATAATAATGAATAAATAGAAATCAATGATTTGGATATATTTAAGCAACATTAACAAAGGTGGGTCTCCAAATATTGAAAAAATTTTAACTACTGGTTGACCTCCTCCTAAAAATCTGTCACATCCCATTATTTCTAAGTAGGTATTGAATTAGTTTAGGTGGTACTTTTAATATCAAGTATATGATTACTAATCCACAAGAGCTCTTTTGTATCATTTTGATTCCAAACTTATTAGATGACTTTGATATTTACAGTCTAGGAGTACTAACATTAGTAGAGAGACAAGTGATAAACTGTGGCTCTATGTGGAAGTACAGATTCAAATGAAAAATAATTCTCTAATTTACATATTTTATCACAGAACGTGTGTTTCTTCACACCTAAATTAAGAAATTAAACACTGCACTGCAGTTCTTACCTCTACCCACATCATTTCCTTTCACTTCATTCACTTCACTGTTTTTCTTTCTGCAAGCCTGCCTTTTGGTGTCATTTCTATGTAACGAACATCCACTTGATTTTAATATCCCTATCTCTGATCCTAAAGGGTGTTTCCAGCCAAAAAAATGCACAAAATTGTGATTAATATTAATTCAGATTACAAAAATCCAACTGCTATTTAAATATAGCAGACCCAAACTGTCTTTACAAATTACATAAAACACTCCTGTAAGCTGAGCTGTACAGACCTGACTTGAGACACAGCCATGTTATCTCTATTTCAGAGTATGAAAAAACCTGAAATATGTATAACTTGAGAACACCCTAATTCCTACAGCGAACTTGAGTCCCTTAAATTACTCTGCAGCCAGCAATTATAGTTGTCCAAAAATATGACACCCTAAAAAAGAGCAACGTCTCCCATTTTTAACTTCTTTCAAAAATTAAATATTAAAATACATGATTACAGCCAGTGCTAAGATGTCTTTGGGACAAGTTCAATTTAGGAAATTCACTCATTTGATTCTTCCCCGGGAAGAACTGCAATCCAGTGTTACTTTCGGTTCATCCCAATGGCCCCGCCCCGAATCCATTTTTCTTGCACGACGACTGGCACGCTCAAGCCAGACCCCGCCCTCCAAACTCCGGGAATTTTAGGTCTCGAGGGACGCGGCTGCAAGATGGGGGAGCCACCTTTAGCCCGGCCGCCCCTCGCTGAGGGAGCCGGACGGGCCACGCTCCTTTCTCGGAGCTTCGGCCTGTCCAGCTGTAAAGTGGGGGACCGGGGGATTTCCAAGAATCCTGGGATGTCCTGGGGGAGGGCGCGGTCCCGTCTCCGTCTTGGCGGGTCTGGACGCGGTCGCCTTCTCCAGGCGCCGCAGGACCCAGGAGAGGAGAGGTCTGCAGGGGCTCAGCCCCGGTCTGCGGCTTCCCGGAGGGTGGCGGCAACGAGCCTGTGCTGTAGGCACCAACCCGTCAGACGGTCCCGGCTCCGAGGCCTCTCCAGCCTTGAAACCGCTCCTCTCCTGCCCCCATTCCCCGCCCGACACTTACGTCCAGCCCCGTCGTGCAGTGGTTCCGGAGCCCGGTGTAGCGCCGCGCGCAGCCGCCTCACTCCACCGGTTTCAGCCAAGAAAACAAAACGTCCACGGCCTCCAGACACCCGGATGCAGCAGTACCACCCCCGCGGCTCAGCCGCGCATGCGGACACGGGGCGGAGGGCGGGACGCCGGGTCCGGAGGGAGCCACGCCCACCACGCCAACGCGTCTGCGCAGGCCCGGGCGCTCGCTGGCGGGGCTTTCCGCAGCTCTGGGATCACAGCTGGACGTCGGAAGTGCTAACTTGGAGTACGCCCTTCGAGGGTAGGCGTGAGAAGTTGCTCTGTGTGCTGAGCTTTCTAAAGGAAGGCATCCGTTGGCCTTTGTACCCGTCTTGATTGAGGTGACGAGTGTTTTCTAGTACTGGGGTCAGCCCCCCAGCCGTCTCAGGTGTGGGTGGCAGGAAGAGTGCCGGGTCCCACGTGGTGCAAAAGTTGGGTTCCGGTTTGCAGCCACACAGCGCTACTCAGGACTTTTTAGTCTTGTTTATTTTCTCCGTGCCTGTTCCCGCCCCCTCGCAGTTCCACCTCTGGGAGAGGGGCGGGTTCAGCTCCAGGAGGCGGGGACTTCCCGGCTCGGTGTGGCTGGGGTGTCCCGTGGACCCCAGTCCCGGCGCGGTGACCCACTTATGGGACTTGGCCTTTCTTTGCTGTTTGTTTAAGGCAGGGTTTCTCAGCCTGGGCACTACTGACGTTTTGGGCCGGCTCATTCTGTCTGGGTTGGGAAGGGTAATGTCCCGTGCTGCTTAGAATGTGTAACTGCATCCCCCGTCTCTACCCGGTGGATGCAAGTAGCAGCCCCAGTGAACCAAAAATGTCCCCAGACTTTGCCAAATATCCTCCCCCTCGGGGAAGATCGCCTCGCTTGAGAACCACTGTTGGAGGAGAGCCTGGGTTTTCGGGAGGTGACCGTTTACAAAGGGGAGGACGGTAAGAAGCCGGAAGCAATGATGTGTTAGCTACGTGAACGACTTGTGGCCGGGCTGGCCCCTCTTCTGGAAGCCGTCAGTTTGGGTCTCACGTCTGGGATCGCCGTGGAGGAGTCAGATTCAGCCCCAGAGAGGGAGCAGGGTCGAGGTGTCGTTGCAGAAGGCGCCACCGGAGGAAGCACAGGGGCAACGTGCGGTCTCCCTAGCGGAGGCACTCGCGATCCTGCAGCCGCCGGTCCGGGAGGTGCTCGGTACCCCTCCGTGGTGCCTGTCCGGTAGCTGGTCACTCTCGGGGGAAGGTCGTGCTACAGAAGGGCATTATGCGATCACACAGAGACGGCGTTGCTGCGGCTTTGACCCTATGGTGCACCCGAAAGAACACAGAGGGTGGAGGGAGAGATCCAGGAAGAGGTCCCGGAGCAGAACCTCCTTTCACTTAAGTTAAAAAGGTGGGTCACTTGTTAAGAGCTACGCGCAGGTTCATCTGATTTACATGTACGGCGGCAGTATATGAGTGGGATGGAAACCATGGTGACTGTTGTTTCCTTTGATGGATGAAACTTATATCCCTTTGGGTTTTTTGTTTGTTTGTTTTCGGTGGGGGGGGCATTAACCGATTAGTAGATAAAACTACATAGTATAATCTATAGCCTATTTTTAAATGGACACGTTCTTACCACTCAGGAGGTTTATCGTGATTGTTTAATGTCTCAGGATGGAGGAATCTAGTGCAGGCAGTTCTTAATGAAACCTTTTAAATTCCTGTTAATGACTTAACATTAGTTTACCAGCTCTGAGCAGCTTTAAACAAACCTTGATTTCAGCTTTTAATAAGCTAATGACTGCGGGAGAAAAGATATTAACTCTCCTTTCTCTTTGTGTTTTTTGCCCCTACCCTTTTTTATCTTTACTGACCTTAACATGATTGTCAAATATTTATAAACATGAGTGAACATCTTTATATTACTCTCATTAATAAGATAAATGCTTAATTTGTCATTCTTTACGTTTTTGGGACTTAATGAATGTTTGTCTTTTGTAGATAAAATGGAGCTGCTAGAAATAGCAAAAGCCAGCCCAGCTAAATCTTTAGGAATAGCCAACCCTGACTTGCCAGATGGTCTCAGAACTGTTCTATCGTTAAAGAAACAAACTGTGCAACAGCTGTACTATATGCCACAAAGTTCGAGGTAAGTACTTCAGGTGTATCCAAACAAAACCTTCCAAAAGATCTGGTTAAAATTTTTTATTTGATTTAACTTCTATACTTCTCAGAAAGGCTAAATATAATTTGTTAAAGTCAAAGTAGCAGATCTGGAAATAGTAAACAGGCTCTCACCCATGAAAATGGGAGGGGAATGAACTTTACTTTTGGTGAGCCTGGAACTGTCCCTGAAAGTCCCACATTCTGGGAAACTCCTGAGTGCAAAAAGTCCTGATTTTCAGCAATGAGTGAGGGAAGTTGGGGATGGGAGGAATACAAAAACTGTATGGTGCCTCCCCCCACCCAAAAAGAGACTGAAGACAACCCTTAAGTGAATATGGCTATTGTCTGCCTTCTGTTAACCTCTGAATTGGCAGCCATGACTTGTGGTTCACAATAATAGATCATCCATTGTTGCATCCTCTCAGAGCAATTTTAAGTTCTAACTATGTACAGTGTGAGTCCTAATCTTGAGTGTTAACAGTCTACTTAACTGTGTGCTTTGTATGTAGATAGACAGTAAACTTTGTGAATTGTGACCATGTTTTCTTAGAGTTCAGATAATGAAACTAATGACAAGTACAATACCAACGCCAGTGTGACCTAGACAATACCAAAGCCGTTTAACATAAACGGCTATGTTATTTTAATGACAGATGGAAGGACACATACAGCTGGATTAGGGAGGTAAGTAACCCAAACAGAGCATACTGCACAATATGCAGAAAAGAATTTGCGGTTGGGCATGGTGGAGAAGGGGATGTGAAAAAACATACAGACATTGAATCTAACAAGTCTGGGATGAGACAATCACGTACTTTTGAATCAATTCAAAGTGTTTTCGTTTCCCAAAATGACACCAATGGTCAATCGAAAATAGCAGCTGCTAGTGGGGCACGGTGGCTCACACCTGTAATCCCAGCACTTTGGGAGGCTGAGGCAGGCAGATCACCGGAAGCCAGGAGTTCAAGACTAGCCTGGTCAACATGGTGAAACCTGATCTCTACTAAAAATACAAAAATTAGCTGGGTGTGGTGGCCCCTGCCTATAATCCTAGCTACTCAGGAGGCTGAGGCACAAGATCAGTTGAACCTGGGAGGCGGAAGTTGCAGTGAACTAAGATTGCGCCAGTGCTACTGCACACCAGCTTGGGCGACAGAATGAGACTCTGTCTTAAAAAAAAAGAAAGTTAAAAAGGCTGGGCATGGTGACCCATACGTGTTATCCCAGCACTTTGGGTGGCTGAGGCGGGTGGATCACTTGAGGCCAGGAGTTTAAGACTAGCCTGGCCAACCTGGCAAAACCCTGTCTCTATCAAAAATACAAAAATTAGCCAGGCGTGGTGGTACACACCTATAATCCCAGCTACCTACTGGGGAGGCTGAGGCACGAGAATCACTTGAACCCAGGAAGCACAGGTTGCAGTGAGCCGAGATTGCACCACTGCACTCCAGCCAGAGTGAAACTTTGTCTCAGGAAAAAAAAAAAAAAAAAAAGAAAGAGAAAATAGCAGCTGATGAACTAGCGAATTAGCTTGGGTATACCACACAAATGACCATGGGTTATCCTATCCTTCCCTTGATTGCTCTATGAAACTGAGTAAAATTACATTTTCTGATTCAGAGGTTGTAACTAAAATATCCTGTGGGTGAAAAAAAAGGGGAGATTTTGGTAACAGACATGCTGGCCCTTACAGTGTAGAGCTGATCCTGTCAGATCTCACCAATGATCATGCTTTCTACAGGATGGCAAGTAATGTATTGAATCATGGCAATACAAAAGTGTTCCCCCTAGCTCTTAGGTACTTTGATTTGAAAAGTGGAGTTTCAAGTTGCCTTCTTGATTTCTATGAAAATTTTTATGAAACCTCAGAAAACATAAACAATTATTGATAGCATGTCCAAATACAAACTAGACTTTGCTCACCTATCTGCATATTCAGCAGACGGTGCAAGTGCAAATTTTGGCAAGTTCCATTCAGTCTACAAACTTCTCACCACAGAAGAAGAAAAGGTTTTACCTGCTAAACGGCCTGCACAACTGGTATACAAGACTGCTAAAAAGGGCTGTGATTTGCTTTCCTGTGATACTGAGGCTTTCACAATCAAAGTTTTGGGTTGCTTTTCAGTTTCCTCAAAACATGCAGAGACACTTCATGAGGTTTTTGACTTTGTCGAAATGAAAATAGAATCCTTCAACATGTGCCTACAAGATGGCTATCGTTACTGGCCATAGAGAAGATGTTAAAATGTTGGCCTGCCATCAAGTCTTATTTTCAAAATATGGGAAAAGAAGAGTGTTCTTCTCTAATTTGGAAATACATCAAGGATGAGGATGAAGAAACAAGATTATAGTACAACAGAAATATATATGCCTTTTGTCCAGAACTGCTTGATGATCTTTGAAGAAGTTTTAAGGAGTGTAGAAAAGGATACACTAACTGCACCTGAGTTATTTGATATTATGTGTAAGTTGCGGCAAAAGCTCATACAGCAAAAAAATGACTCTTTGGAAAGAAGATTGTTTTAGAACTCAAAAAAATGTCATCAGAAAAGGGCAACCAAATTGAACTGGACTTTCTTGATTACTAGAACTTTAACTTTTTTTTTTTTGAGATGGAGTCTTGCTCTGTCATCCAGGCTGGAGTGCAGTGGCACGATCTCAGCTCACTGCAAGCTTTGCTTCCCCGTTCATGCCATTCTCTTCACCTAAAATTAACCATCACAAAAGTTAAGGAGAAAGAAGACAACTTGTAGGGGAGGCCGCTATGCAAGATAGTGTGTGAAGGAAGGGCTCTCTGAAGAAGTAACATCTGAGCAGAGACTTGAATGAAGTGAAGAAGTGAGCCATGTGGGTATGGAGGATACAACTTCCAGGTAGAGAGGACAAGTGTGGTGTGTATCAGGGTCAGCAAAGAAGCCATGTGACAGAGAAGGGTGGGCCAGGGAGATAGGGATAAGTGATCTACCTCCTGGGGAGGTGGCCAGGAGCTAGAGCATGAGGATCTTGTAGGATTTTGTTCTGCAAGGTATGTACATCCTCATTGTCTTTCACGTTCTGAGGTGGTACCACTCAGTGATTGAAATCCTTAAGCGTTATATTAGTCTGCTTGGGCTACCATAACAGCCAAAAGTAGCTATTTTTTGAATTTCTAATGGTTTAGTCAGACTACAAATTACTTAATAACAGGGGCTACAGTTCATTCCTGGATATATCCCCAGAATCAGGGACAGTTTCTAGAACACACTTGAGTGCTCAACAGACATAGCTATTATAGTTAGTTGAAATAGAATTGGCAATGTGGGAAATAAGAAATCATATTTTTGGCCCAGCACAGTGGTTCACGTCTGTAATCCCAGCACTTTGGGAGGCTGAGGCAGGAGGATCAATTAAGGTCAGGAGTTTGAGACCATCCTGGCCAATATGGTGAAACCCCATTTCTACTAAAAATATAAAAAGTAGCTGGGTGTAGTGGTGTGTGCCTGTGATCCCAGCTACACAGGAGGCTGAGGTAGGAGAATCGCTTGAACCTGGTAGGCAGAGATTGGAGTGAGCCAAGATCATACCACTGCACTCCAGGCTGGGCAACAGAGCCAGACTCCATCTCAAAAAAAAAAAAAAAAAAAAAAAACGGGGCGGGGGAGGGGGGGAAGGATCCAAGATGGCCGAATAGGAACAGCTCCGGTCTACAGCTCCCAGCGTGAGTGATGCAGAAGATGGGTGATTTCTGCATTTCCAGCTGAGGTACCGGGTTCATCTCACTGGGACTTGTTGAACAGTGGGTACAGCCCACAGAGTGTGAGCTGAAGCAGGGCAGGGCATTGCCTCACCTGGGAAGCGCAAGGCGTCGGGAAATTCCCTTTCCTAGCCAATTGAAGCCGTGACACATGGTACCTGGAAAATCGGGACACTCCCACCCTAATACTGCCCTTTTCCAACAGTCTTAGCAAATGGCACACCAGGAGATTATATCCTGTGCCTGGCTCTGAGGGTCCCACGCCTATGGAGCCTTGCTCACTGCTGGCACAGCAGTCCGAGACTGAACTGCACGGCAGCAGCGAGGCTGGGGGAGGGGTGTCCGCCATTGCTGAGGCTTGAGTAGGTAAACAAAGTGGCCGGGAAGCTCCAACTGGGTGGAGCCCACTGCAGCTCAATGAGGCCTGCCTGCCTCTGTAGACTCCACCTCTGGGGGCAGGGCATAGCTGAACAAAAGGCAGTAGAAACTTCTGCAGACTTAAACGTCCCTGTCTGACAGCTTTGAAGAGAGTAGTGGTTCTCCTAGCACGGAGTTTGAGATCCGAGAATGGACAGACTGCCTCCTCAAATGGATCCCTGACCCCGAGTAGCCTAACTGGGAGACACCTCCCAGTAGTGGCCAACTGACACCTCATACAGCCAGGTGCACCTCTCAAACGAAGCTTCCAGAGGAAGGATCAGGCAGCAACATTTACTGTTCTGCAACATTTGCTGTTCTGCAGCCTCTGCTGGTGATACCCAGGCAAACAGCATCTGGAGTGGACCTCCAGCAAACTCCAACAGACCTGAAGCTGAGGGTCCTGACTGTTAGAAGGAAAACTAACAAACAGAAAGGAATAGCATCAATATCAACAAAAAGGACATCCACACCAAAGCCCCATCTGTAGGTCACCATCATCAAAGACCAAAGGTAGATAAAACCACAAAGATGGGGAGAAACCAAAGCAGAAAAGCTGAAAATTCTAAAAATCAGAGTGCCTCTTCTCCTTCAAAGGAACACAGCTCCTCGCCAGCAATGGAACACAACGAGATGGAGAATGACTTTGATGAGTTGAGAGAAGTAGACTTCAGAAGATCGGTAATAACAACTCTGAACTGAAGGAGGATGTTCAAACCCATTGCAAAGAAGCTAAAAACCTTGAGAAAAGATGTGAGATGAATGGCTGACAAGAACAGTGTAGAGAAGACCTTAAATAACCTGATGGAGCTGAAAACCATGCCACGAGAACT